AAGAAGAATCCTCAGCTAAAGAAGGGGGATAGAGTCTATGTACTTACAAAAAACTTCGGCACAAAGAGGCCATCAAAGAAGCTCGATCACGTCAAGGTCGGACCCTTCTTGATCACCAGACAAACCGGGCCAGTGAACTATCAAGTTGCGCTGCCATCCGATACCCGAAAACACCAGACATTCCATGTCTCTCAGCTAGAACCAGCTGACTCAGGAACGCCACTGCAAGAAACCTTTCACCAGGAGAACTTCGAAGAAGACGTGTACGAAGTCGAAAGAATATTAGAGCAGAAAGGTCAGCGATATCTTATTAAATGGAAAGGATACCCAAATAGCGAAAATACCTGGGAACCAATCAAGAACTTGACGAACTGTCGACTCCTGCTGCAGGAATGGCAAAGAAGTCTGATGAAACCCCCTCTAAGGCCATCCAGGACTCGATAGGCAGCTCCAGGATGCCATGGTCAAGATGAAACTCAGGAATCTCAACGGGAGCCTCGACAGGAACGGCTGAACCGGGCTCGCCATCACCGGACTCTTCGTCACTCAGGACATCGAGCTCCGCCTCCACAGCAGCCTCAGCACGACGAGCCTGCTGAGCAAAGATCTTCCGAAGACGCAATTTCTTTTCCCGCCGCTGCCGAAGCTGAGAATTCAGCTTATCCTGGGCCTCCATCAGCTCCAGCTCCTCCTTCTCGATCTCCTCGATTTGAAGAGCCAGCTTGTCCCGACTAATCACGAGCTTCTGCCACTCTTGAGCGCGGAGCGTTACGTCGCAACTCCGACAATTTTTCCGGACACACTCGGAGCACTTCTTGGAACGCGGCCCCACCACGCAGGAAGGGCGAATCTCGCCCTCAGGCACTTTCGCATTACGACAATTGGAGCAAGGCGCCATATCCAGGTCTGAAAGCTTGATACCGACAGCGTTGATAGCTGTCGCGCGAGAAATACGAGAAGAAGAGGACGACATGGCTGCCAACTCATAAGGGCAATCATCTATACTTATGAAGCAAGCCTCGAGACGAGGCTAGGCTGAAAGGGGAGTAGTGTTACGATCACACGACCGTGCCGCCTCAGGCACATGATCCCTCCACAGAACCCTAATCACGTGACTAAGCCAACAGAACAGACGGAGCAGGCTTCGCTCTGTTGGCTCTGCTACAACAGAACAAGCAGCATCAACTGCGTTCTGTTAGTACTACCTGTAGCAGGCATTTCCCTTTGTATGTAAGAAGACACACATATATAGGTAGGACGAGCTGACCTTATGTCGGCTCGTGTTGAACTCATGTTACCAACCTAGCCATTGAAATCAAAGACCCTTTCCTGCTCCTACCTCGCTACTCATTCTCAAGAAGCTACCTCGAGTAAACTACCCTTTGGCAGTTGACCCGTAACACTTAAGTGAATCTTCCAGATCCTGCTCGGTATAGGACGGCATTATCTAAACTAAAATCCTTTCCTAAATACTACTTTACGACTTATCGACGGTAATAACCTTATTTATTCGGACAGAACAACGCCTGTTATCAACAGAATGATTAAATTGATCTGCTTCTTATTCTAGTTTTGTCACTAGACGAATATTGGAACAAAAAAACTCAGAACTCGACAACAAACGGTATTCTAACCCTGCAAACCCTGCGTTATATATGTCTGCAACGCGTTCTTGATTTGCACTTCTGCGAGCAATGGAGCGCCAAATCGAACGCTAACATTCACAATCCGGTGTCCTGTGACTGCATTGAGCCAGCAGGCACAATGTCCCTGTGCATTCTTTCCCAACCTAATCAAGAAGACTGCTCAGACGGTTGAGACGAAGGCGGAGATACCATCGGGCTTGCCGTCAGACTTGAGCTTGGGAGTGCAGACGTTGCCACTTTGGGGACCGGCGTCGCAGCCCTCGATGCTACCCTTGACACAGACGTAGTAAGGAGTGAAAGCGACGTATCCACACTGGCCTTCTCCAGCCTGGAACATGTAGCTGACCTCGCTGGAGGTTTCCTCGGTAGTCTCAAATCCGACGGAAGCAGAGACGATACCGAATGGGTCGCCAACGGTGGAGCTGAAGCTGGTGGTGTGCGAAACGCTGACGCTCTCGGTGTAAGTGACACCTGCATCTGGTCCGCAGAAGTCCTGGCTGATGCGGAAGGATTGACTACCGACGGTGGTGTATTCGCCGCCATCCTGAATGAATTTGTCGCAGTCGCGCTTCTCAACGGGCTTCTCAGCAGCTGACAGGGAGAGAAGCGGCTCAACGGGCTTGAAGATGGAGACGCCGGCATCGCTGACGGTCTGGACAACGGTGGAAAGGTTGAGTCCGTGGTCGTGCAAAAACTGGTCCATGATGTCTTGGCCCTGGGCCCAGACGGCAGTCGGGACAATCATGTTGCCATCTGCGTCCTTGAGGACAGCACTCATGGAGCTGGTACCCGCAAGACCGCGCTTGGAAGCACCGGCAGCGGTGCAGTCACCTGTGCCGCAGCAGAACTGGACCATGATGGTCGGGTGGGTCTCGACGCTGGTGCAAGCGTCACCGCGTCCGGCGTAGCGAGGGAAACCACAGCCAGGCTCTGCAAAGAGATAGTATGATTAGTATATGCCAGAACAAGAGATCTGTGTGAAGGAACTCACCATCGACGTTAGCTGGAGTGCGGATGATGGTTCGGCAGGTGGGGTTGTCGACAGGAGCTGTAGATATCAGTCAGCAGATTTCATGAGCAATCCAATACATTGAAGCAATGCACATACGGATATCGAAGAAGAGAGGATAAATTGAGCCGTTCACAGGGTAGTCGTCTTTCTTGGCTCCAAGGACGTCATCACGGTTGTAGATGACACAGGCTGGGTAGCCCGTCCCCTGCTGAATAAGGCTGTTGGGGCAGTAGTCACATGCACCCGAGTTGCAGACACCGATGGCAGTTTCCTGAGCAACAGCTTTGGCGATGAGCAGGCCCATGGCCGCGGCAGAGATAAGACGAGAAGTCATAATTGTAAGAGTGAAGACCTGTGTATAAGGAAGGTGATGATGGCGTTGTTATTACTGCTTGGTGATTGCTGCTTTGTGTGGTTCTGTGTACTGTGATAAAACTTTCGGACGGATTTTGAAGAGCCTATTTATATTCTTGTGATCCTCCTCAATGAATGAGCTTATGATCAAGAATGACGTATCGTTGCTGTGTGAGAGCCGAAGACCGACGGTAGTCAGTCCTCGACCATGTCGCATGTTGGATTTCCATGTCCTCCTGCTAACTTTTGGTCATGTCCACACAGCATGATTGTGTTTGTGTTACCTGACGTCACATCTCAATATCTACTTCATGCTTGGATGCACTTGGTATGAGACTCGATATGGTTGTGCCTGGGACTTGGCGTTGGCTTGAAGGCGCCGAGGCAGAGTCACATTGCTTAGCGTGAAGCATTTTTGTTTGTTCTGTGCGTCTCTAGCCCTGCAGAGTAAGAGCGCGGCAAGCATCTAATTGTTATGTATGACATCGTCTAGGCTCACAGCACAGAACAGTGTTGACAAGAGCTAGACATGATAAGTGATATCGATGGACAACTTCGATGTTACGTTAGCACGAGACTAGCATGTGGGGCCCATCGAACGTCGATCTCTCGTCAAGTTGTTGGTGGGACCGCATGGCCCGTTCTCCTGAAGCTGCGGAACGACGTCGGTCATTGTGCGAGTGTGTCTATATGGAGCATGAAATAACCCAAAGTAGCCGCCGGGTCGCTGCGGAATAGTACATCAGTCCTAGCCCCCCAAATTTCGAAAGATTTCTCGAAGGACTGCTTGGCGATAAGCTCTTGGCTAAGCACTTGTTGTCGGCGGTGCCCGGCGCTAAATCCACATGCTGGCTTTAAGAATTGCGCCAGTGTTGGTGTTGGAACTTCATAGCTGTCCACAAAAGTTGGACTTACAGACCTCATGTTTTGCTTCGTGACTGTTACAACGTCATACTCTTACGCGAGAATCGCCTCGATTGAGATTACATGACAAGTAATGTCCAAAGATAAATAGCATAAATATTCGATATTAGCCATGTATGTGTACCATCACTCAACCATCAAGCTCGAACACCAGTACGAATCACATCAACACCAGATCAGCCTTCTCTCCTCCCAAACCTTTTTCCAGTATGCTCGCAAAATTCGCCCTCCTCGCTGTGGCGATTCTTTCTGCCAACGCTGCGACCCTGCCTCAGCTTGAATCCAGACAGGATATCGCTCAAACCTTTGTTACCTTCTGGAGGAAGGGCTGTGGCATCGATCCCTGCGACAGCGACCTGGGGTGCCAAAGGACCATCCCTTTCGGAGGGCAATCCCCAACCAAAGAGGGCGAGTGTTACGCGAACCCAGACCAGTCCTACCGCTCGCTTCAACTGGAAGTGCTGGACGACACCAAGTGGGAAATCGATGTCTTCTCCGGCGATGGCTGCAACAACTTTATCACGGTAAGTTTCTTGCTTGACATCGACTCAACACTACATCAGGCTGACTGCGTTCCCTAAGACCATCGACACGCCATCCTGCTATCTCCAGCCGGATGGACAAGTCATCGTCAGCTTCAGAGCGCGCAAGCTTTAGATGACTGAGGAACAGTGTGGGTTCGTGCTGTGGGAATGACAGGGCGATCAAGCGGAAACAATATAGAGAGCGCAATCTGAATCTTATCGCATCCTCGACCGTCTGTTGACTCATCGTGTGTCATTCAGCGACGTGTAAATCTGTGAGACGAAGCGTTGAAGTTTGGTAGTCGTGTTGCGGAGTATATCGCATGTCGCCCAAAGTCAATGCAAGGTCCTGTCAGTGATGGTCGCCTACCTGGGGCTTGTCATGTACGGGTATCGGTCAAATCGGACGGAGTACTCGCATGATCAATTTGATGCATGGTCTGTATGATGAGTGGGACAGCCTCAGTTCACTTCACAGCTGCTGGAGTGCCCTGTTGAATTTGATCGACACCTGTATATGCTATAATTGTCATTGCATTGTGCGAACGAATTCAAGTGCACATGTCCGGGTGTTTGTCGGCGAGCTTAGAATCCTGCGGGATGGCCAAGCGCGCTAAAGTTTAAGCGCTTGCATCTCCAACATCTCTATTAGTTGGACCTGTCCTTCCTGCTAATTTTATTCATAGGCTTCTCATTCCACGCATGAGCCGTTGAATTCGGCCTCGATCCACAATATCTTGTAGATGAATGTACACATCGTCATCGGATTCCGCAACCGATGAAGGGCCGTTTCGGCCGTCCAATTGGAAGGATGTAGCGGGGACCGTTCGAGAAGACGTCACTGTCTGCGGCGGATGAACACCGGCAAGAAGGCTCAGTCGCTGCTCTGTGATCAATGAAGCTCTCACGTTGTTTTGGGCCGGTGCTCTTCTCGGAGCGCACATTTTGCGATTATACGACTTCTGTCCAGCTCGGGACCACTGCGGCTGCAGACGACGATCGGGCCCGCAGTCGCGACTTCAGCTTATACATAGCTAGGTACTGCGATACACGATCTGCGACGTTGCCTCCGTGCTCATAGATAGTTGGAACCTGCTAACCACGTGCAAGCCTGTGGATGCGATGTCACCAAGGGCGATCTCGATCCCCAGTCATGAGCTACCGACCAAGCTAGACTTACTTGGCTGCGTTCGCCAAGTAACACTCCAATGGATTGAAATATCTCGAAGCTCAAAGTGGTAATTTGTCGGCGTCGGGATTGCTTGTCATGATACTGACCAAGGGATGAGGTCACCGGAGTGCTCGATCGAAACAAAGCACGTCCCTGCGTGTCATATCGAGATTAGCGGTCCGTGAGGTCCATATATATACTACATACCCAGACGCTACTTTTATGCATGTCCTTCCATAAGGCTGGCTTGGCAATCTCAAGGCTCAGGACTTCTTCATTTTGGTACTTTGCCATGACGAAAGGTTCAAACCCGCCAAAATATCACAATGCCGTCATCATCGAGGATACATCGAGGCGCATTCTCGAGGGATGGGTGGAAAAGTGGACGAGTCTTCGATCGGACATAAATACCGCCGTTTCGGCGAGAAACAGAAATCCACCAGTTCCCAGCTGAGCTCGAATTGAACAACGATACTCTCACTTTGCCCACCTCAAACCACTCGCTCACCATGCTTTCCAACCTCCTTCTCTTCATTGCCGCCGCCAGTGCCGCGGCCGTCCCCTCCCTCGAGGCCCGCGCAACTCCCGAGGCAATCGTGACCGCCTGGAGGCAAGGCTGCGGCAACTACGAATGCGGCACCGACCTCGGCTGTTCATACGGGACGACGTACGGGGAAGGGTTCCCCTCGAACCAGGAGGAGTGCTACGCCGTGGGATACGGGTACAACTCGCTGCAGTTGAACGTGCTGGACGAGAGCGACAACTGGAGCGTCGATGTCTTCTCCGGTGAAGGGTGCAACAACCCGGTCGGCGTAGGTGTTTTTCTTCCAGCTTTTTCTCCCTTTGTCTTTTCCTCTCTTTCGATTGCTATGTTTCTCCCTGCTGGCATGTGTTTTTGCACAAAGGTCAGATTACTGACGAGATGACCCGATCCAGACTGTCTCCAAGAACTCGTGCTATTTGCAGCCTGTCGGCCAGATCATCGTCAGCTTCCGAGCGCGCCGGTTGTAGACGGGATGGGCTTTGCGGTGGAAAGGATCAGGTGGTTTGGATCGGGCTTGGGGGGAGGACGATGTGACAAACCACGACGTTTGTGGGCTCGGCGTGGTCCTGCTGGGATCACCCACCACGTCGCTTTCATCCGCCGGATGTATCAGGTTTTCGATCGTTTTGTCTTTACTTCATATGCAAATGCCTGAGCTGTCGTTGTTCTCGAGAGGACATGTCGGGGATCACCCCTTCTCCCGCTATTTCTGTGCAATCCGTCGTCACCGTGAGACACAGAGGGACCAGCGTGTATTCCTAGGATATAATGAACCACACGATTGCAGCAACGCCAGGAAGTGCAAGTTTCAAATGTGATAGGATATATGGCCTTTTCATTGCCTCGGGATGAAGCAATCTATGTATAGAGATAGAGCCCTCAAATTATGCTCAGGCAGAGGGAAAGGCGTCGCGATCAACAACATGTGGTGATCGCCTAACGATAGCGGATAGTGGATGGGGAGAGGGAGAACGCGATGGGAGACCAACACAGTGCGGCCCGCATCGCAAGATAATCTAGAAATGGCGGAAGAGTTCATCGTCTTCCCGGACCCAGTTCCCGTCGGGTGAGAGAAGAAAATTAGAAGACGTCTAACCACTACTGTTTCTTTCCTTTTCCATCCGAGGTTCACCGTCTCGCCGCCTCCCTGGCCTTCTCGACCGTACTCGTCATGGTCAAGCCGACAGGCGTCGGACTCCTCGTGGGGACCGCGCTCGGTGCAGCCGAGCGATTGTGCGCCATGTGGGCTTTGACGAGATGGCCTGCGGCCAAGGCGGAGCAGAGGGACAACTCACCGGCCAAGACGGCGGCGGCGATGATGCGGGCGAGGGAGCGGGCGTTTTCGCCGGGAGAGGTCGGGTGCGGGCCCCGGACGCCGAGGAGGTCGAGCATGGCGGCTTGCGGCTCGAGGACGGTGCCACCGCCGAGCGTGCCGACTTCGATGCAGGGCATGCTGACGGAGATTTGGAGGGAGCCGCGGAGACTGTTCAGAGGATGAAAGGTTAGTCATTGTCAATTTCGGGGGTTGGAATGGGTCAGATGAGACTTACTTCTTCATGACGGTGATACAATTGCTGCTCTCGACGTTCTGGGCCGGGTCCTGTCCGGTGGCCAAGAACATAGCAGTGAGAGTGTTAGCGGCATGGGCATTGAAACCACCGATCGAACCCGCCATGGCAGAGCCCATGAAGTTCTTCGCAATGTTGAGCTCGACGAGCGCATCCACATCACTCTTGAGCACGCTGCGCACGACTTCGGCCGGGATGATGGCCTCGGCGACGACGCTCTTGCCACGGCCGTCGATCCAGTTGATGGCGGCGGGCTTCTTGTCGGTACAGAAGTTGCCGCTGACGGAGATGATGGCCATGTCGTCGAAACCGGCGTTCTCACGCATGACGCGGAGGGCGTGCTCGACACCCTTGGAGATCATGTTCATACCCATGGCATCACCGGTCGTGGTCTTGAAACGGATGTACAGGTAAGTGCCAGCAATGGCGGTCTTCATGGTTTGTAACCGCGCGAATCGTGAGGTGGAGTTGAAGGCCTCCTTCATGGTCTTTTGGCCTTCGGCGCTGTCCAACCACAATTTGGCTGCTGCTGCACGAGCCAAGGTCTCGAAACCAACACATGGGCCACGGGTCATGCCGTCGGCTGTGACGACTGTAGTGGCGCCACCGCCAGCATTGATGGCCTTGCAACCTCGCGATGTCGATGCGACAAGCACACCTTCGGTTGTCGCCATCGGTAGGTAGTATGATTTGCCGTCGATCGTCATGGGGCCAGCAAGACCGAGAGGTAGAGGGAGGTATCCGACCACGTTCTCGCAGCATGCACCGAAGACACGGTCGTAGTCGTAGCGTTTGTATGGTAGCAGCGAACGTTCGAGTTTAGATGCAATCGGCACACTGCGCGAGACGAGGGCACGGCGAATCTTGACGGCACGGGTCTTGTCGCCGAGAGTCTTCTCGAGCGCATAGCCAGGGATTTTGCCGCGAAGTGCAAGGTCGATGAGCTCCTCGTCGTTCAGGAGAGTCACTTGCTTTTCAGCGAGAAGCGCTTCGCATTCCGCAGCTGAGCGCTTCACGACGGTACCATTGGCAGCCGGGGTTTCCTCTTCTTCCTCATCTTCTTCATCATCGCGCAGAGGCTGGGCTACCGGAGGCACAGCATGACCGTTGGTCGCCTCGTGCGTAGGTTGCTGAGCCTGTTCTTGTCGGGGTTCCTTGATGCTCCAGCGCGCCGCGTTGAAGAGGTATCCATTCAAAACCAAGCTCATGACCAATGCAGTAATCACCCATTTGCTCAGGACCGGGTCTTCGAAGCTCTTGAGGAGGCTCTCGACGACCTTCCCACCGACCGCTGAAAACAAGCCACGCTCCAAGTCGCCATCGAAGAGTGCCCAGTCCACGTTTGCAGGAGCGGAGTAGTGGACTGAGGGATACTGGAATTCATACTTGATAGGGCTGAATACGGTGACGGTGGTGGGTACCCGGTTGTGCTCGGCACGGGCGAAGATGATATCGAGCGCATTGCCGGCGACCTTGAATGGATCAAGCGGAGGCTGTGTGACGACGCTGGACAAACCGGCGGTCGGCAGAGGCGAGTTGTGACGTGTACCACGGAATGGCATGGTGCAGAGGTTGAGGACGTTGATGAGCAAGAAACCAGATACCATCAGGACCTTGAACCTCGGGATGCTGCTGTCGCGTGCCTTGCGACCGAAAAGGCTCAGCAATTCGTTGCTTTCGACGTTCTTGCCGTTGGGCCAGTCGTTGCTAGCGGCTACGTTCTCAGCGACACGGCGGCTGACACCATCCTCCTCCAAGGCCTTGCGGACAGCCACGTGACGCTTGATGCGATTAATCTCGAGCTTTATGGTCAAGATTGAAGTGTAGAAGGTGAAGAGCAGGATGCAGTCGAAGAAGAGAGTCCATGCAGCAAGGATGCAGAACGGACGAAGACCACCCTGGATGCCAGACGCTGCGCCAGCACAAAGGATTGCGATCTCGATGCAGTAGTCGCGCACAATCTCCAAACCGCGCTCACGCACAGCGACCTGTACGGCATTCTGAATGGTCAGAGTCCCATCACCGGAAGCGTTGTCGCCAGGCTTGCCATTCTTGGCGCGCAGTGCGGCGGACAAAACGGCCTGGGTGAGCATGATGGGCTTCTCAAATCCCACAGTGACCACCAGGAATGGAACGCCCTCGGAGATGAGAATCACATTCTCGGGGACACCTAGGTAAAGCGTAACGATCAGGCCGAAGAGGAAACCGAGCGTGCTCGAAAACAGGACCGATGCCGCCAACCAGAAATTGGATCCCATGCGACGCATACTCATGAAGAGGGAGACAAATGTCAAATGCAGAGAAATGTATCCGAGTGCCATGATGATGATATCCAGCGTCTCGGCGTTCTTCAGGACATCGACAAAGGCGGTCCACGAGTTTCGTGCCCAGCCCAGCCAAGTGCTCGAACCATTGTTTGCTCGGGAAGACTTCATCAACCACAACTTCTGCTCTTGCTGGTCTTCCGAGTCCGCTTCCAACTCCTCCTCTGACGAGGGAGTACGTGGCTTGGCCCCGATCTCTCGGATCGATTGGAAGAATTCGGGGGTCTCCGAGTAAGGCATGGAGAATGCGAGGGTGGTGTCTGAGCCGAGAGGAGAGAAGACGCTCTCGCTTGAGGGCAGCCGCTGGATATGGCTGGTTGTGGGGATCTGCTCGACGATGGGCGAGACATTGAATGAGCGAGCGGCCGAGTTGACAAACTCCAGGGTCACCAGCGCAAGGTCCTCCTTTGCGGAGGCCTTGGACTTGTAATCATCTGCCTGCCATTTCCAAGCTGTTTCTGGTCCCAAGTTGAGCCTCCTGCTCCCACTCGAAAGCGTGGCGAAGTCGATGCGGTTCGCAATGTCTAATGGCTTGGGTTGGAAGAAGCCGGTTTCAAGGAGCTGAACGTAGAAAAGGCTGCCGAGAATGGCGACGACCGCAATGGTTCGGACAGGGTGGGTGCACGCCTTGAGCGAGACGGTCTCGAGAAAAGGAGTGATTCTGCGGTCGTAGACGCCGGGCTTGTCGGAGTCGTCGGCGCCATAACCACGGCGCCACCGTGAAGGAATGAGATTCTGTAGCATTGTGATCTGTGGTCGGTTGTGGAGCTACCGTTGTCGAGTGCCAATGGCAGAGAAGCTGGAGTTTGAACACTCCCGATCTTGTTGAAGACTGGAGCAGACGCGTCGTGCTATGAGAAGGAAACGCTCATTGCACGGAGAGGGACTTTGAGAGACACACGACTCGGTTGAAACAGTCGCAGTCTGGCGGAGGAGAGAGAGAGTTGCGCGATATGGCTCCCTTCCAGGCGGGAGTTGGAAAAGTTGCGAGGGCGCACAGGCCACAATGGCGGTTGAGGTGAACGGGTGGTGATGAACTCCGGCAGGAAAAGAAAGCTCTCGCAACGCAACAGGATACGATACCGCCTGTTCGCTGTCGATGTGCAGGACGATGTAGCAGGTTGAATACAAATATCACAACCAGGACCAGGGACCAAGGGAGACACGGCAGCATAAGAATCAAAAAACAAGGGAATCACCTGGGCATATAAGGATTTGGCCGTCCGAGGGCTGACATGTATTTTATTATTTGAGATCCGGTACATCAGGTGGGCGATTGCGGAAGTGATGGGGAAGGCAAGCTCGACTTTTACTGCTTTTAGCCCTTTGCCGCATGCGTCAAGCAGCATCGCCGGCCGTTCGACGGGCCGAGAGAGAGCCAGCTGGGCAGAGACAGAGAGAGGCAAATGCGATATGATGATTATTGCAGCAACACGATGAGAATTATTATTACAGCATATTGGGTCACTCCCTCTCCTTCCCTCCTGATGCTTCGTCGACCAGTATATATTCCATACAACGGTAACGAGAACTCCATCGCGGTAGGGGATCTCATTGTCCCCTCTTTGGAGGTCCCAAGGTTGATTTCAGACTCGCGCTATCTTCGCGCACGATAAAGCCCCTGTCGACGCTACGACGATGCTAGATTCCGACGGATAAGGAGAGCAAGATGAGACTGCCACACTGCTCTCTATTGCACCGCTATTCCGATGCTTCTAATTTGGAGACCGAGCACCTCCAGACAATCAACAGCAATGCGACATTTGAGAACGGAGAGCGGCAGAAGATCTGACCATGTCGAACCCCGACGCGGCTCTGCGTGACCTCCCAGCTGAGTGAGATCCTCGGCTCCATGCCAGTCCGGGGTGAGGTGAGATGCCGCTGTCCTGCATTGCATGCATTTGTCCGATCTATTTATCGGCTTTTGCGGGAGAATGTCCAGCGCATGGATTATTTACCTGGACAACACGGCACGCCCCAATGACCCTGGCGCCTGCTGGGGAAGAACGATCATCTGCGGAAACGGCAAATGCTCTCGTTAGCCCTTCATCCCTCTCGTTGTCCTCAGGGAACCCAGGGAAAGCGCAGTCGAGGATGGTGGTGGAGCGGAGTAGTTCGCATGAGCCAAGCAAGCGTACTGTGCCAAATCTTTGACGCAGGGACCGACACCGCCCACGCGTGTGTGTACGTACTGTGCCCGGCGCAGACCGATATTTCTCCTGGAGTTCATCATTTATTATTATTATTCCTACATAGTTACCTCCTTGTAACGGCAGACCATCGTGCGGGCTCGTACCTTCTCCATGATCCGATCCGCATTGCCATTGATGCTGGACAGACCGAAACAGCACTACCTGCCTAGGTAGGTACGCATGTGAGCAGTGTAGGGCGATCACGCGCGAGAGACATGCCGAAGATCGAGATGGTCTAATACATCAAGACTCGTCGATCCCGCGCAGAGAACGTACGAGGATATTTGGGTCGCAATGGCAGGAGTCACAGATGACAGATGCAACAAACCTGGGAAGTCGTACGATTTTCAAAGCCAGACGCAGGGCCGGCTGCTGTACGTACCTGTACCTAGTATGCATGAAGGCGATGAGGGAGAAGTGGACACCCCTCGACTTAGGGTTGACATTTCGCATTACTCCACTGTAAGCCCAACCCGATTGTCGTGCATGTTGACGTTCGATGATGCACAATGTTCATATATGCCCAAAGGCGAGAGACACCTGCTCGAACAGCTAATGAGCCAATCAATGTCCCCACGTCCGTTGATCGACCAACTCTGCCTCCGAGTCTCGGACAGGAAGGCCAGCTCTCGCCGTCTCTGAGAGCAGCTGAAGTCCTCGCTGCAAATGCCGGCCTGCACCTGTCTCGTTCAAAACCCGGGGGCAAGTCAGACGAGACCGACTCCCAAGGCCGTCGTGTCGACACCGTCACCTAGGATGAGATGCAGACGTACATACCAGGTAGGGAGGTAGGTAGCAAGTGAATAGCAGCAGATAGACACAAGCACGTGACAAGATGGTCCCTATAGTTCTCTGCGCATCAAGTATCCAGTATACTTACCTACCTATCTAAGTCATGTAGGCACCTATAGATGTATAGTATTACCTGCTGTTGGTGTAGGCGTCGGCAGCTACCTATGTACTACCTGTTGAAAATAGGTGTAAAAACAGTGCACTTGGCGCGCGTGCACGGAGCGACTGTTTGTATCGGCTGTCGTCGCGACTACGGTACTCCAGAATCTCCAGATACAACCCTGGGAATACATCAAAGCTTTGCATCCTCTGCTCATGAGTGCGATTCTTCTTCGCTTCTATCGACGATGCTCACAATGAATCTGACCCGTGCAAGTACCCACTCATTGCCAAGAGCGCCACAGTCGGGAGGCGTCTACACAGGGATGTGAAGTTATCTACAAGTCTCGGAGCCTGTTCATTGTCATCATCATGGGAATGAAGATACCACGTGGAGACATGTTGCGGTGGTGTTGCCGGTGATGTCGCTGTGCACTTCGAATGCGCATCCTACCTGCAGCTACGTTACCTGCAGCTACGTTACCTGCAGCTCGACCAGCACGGCCGAACACCCACGACCCGTCGGGTCGATTCCTCATGCCATCACACCACCTCCAAAGGCACCCGACGTACTTCTAGCTTCACACATGATGTCCGCCGATCCAGAAGATTGGATGCTCGGGGATCCCGACATTGCAGAGTTCAATCTACTCGCGTGTGCGAGTCTTTACAACGAACTGGTCGCAAAAGCCAGGGATCTGGCACCGGCGAACTTCGCGGATGGCGACCCATTGCCCATGCCAAATTCGATCAACCTCATTCCTCACGAACGTCCAGACGATGAGCTCCCAAGAGGGAAGTCACCCGCCCTGGAGCTATTCCTCCAACATTGTATCGTGAACGAAAATCGCCCATGGAATTCTTTGCTCATGCCCTTCATCCAGCCGCTCGAACTAAGGTTTTATATGTACGACGACTGGTTGGACTCATAGGAATCACATTCAAAAGTTTGCCTTCTTCATCTGCCACAATATGAGCCAGAAGGCGGCTTGTTCTTCGACCAACGTTCGAGTCGGGCAAGGATCATTGCCTTCCCTGGGCCTGAACGGGCTGATGATTACCAGGATTGGTTGCCCTTGGAAACCATTTTGAAGAAATGGCTCATGTGTTGGGATCGAGGGCTGATCACGTTAACCTACGACGAAGAAGATCCCGGCGATGAGTGGGGTCGCAGCGCCCTTCTCGGCTGGAACCACGAAATGTACTACCGCGATCACATTCCGGAGACTTTTCGCGTATGGGAGGAGTATTTGGCTGCGATAGAGGAGCGAGTGCCGGGCGAAGCATTCGACACGACACCGGCACCGCCGCGGGAAAGACCCGCCATGCGAAAATCATGCAGTGCCTCCACCACACTCGGGTCCGACCATCAGCCAGACCAACCCATGCCGGCAAAGCAAGACTTCCCCGAGGAATGGTTCATCCGTGCGCGGCAACCCGCCAGGCTGAAATCCGGACGACCGCTCCGCATCGCACCGGGCCTGATCATACCACCGGATGCCATGCGCGAAGCAAACCTCGACGACCCCGGTGACCACGAGAAAATCATCTTCCTCTCCGTCCACGACTCTTCCGGTCGCCTTCTCCCCGCCTGAACACATCCTCCCACGACGGCCTCTACCTCTCACGCGACTACGGAACCTTCGTCGACAGCGTCGCCTATTCCCGGCATTTCCCGAACGTTCAGCGGCGGTCCCGGTCGGACTTGTTCCATCCCCTCAGCAGTGAGGGGTCGTTGGTGCCGTGTCCCTGGAACCCATCGCGCGGGCTGGGACTCGTAGATATCCTGAGAGCTTGGAAGCGCTGCGTCGAGGAAGGACACTGGACGGTCGGTGAGGATGGGGTTGAGGGCGGGTTTCAGGATTTGGAGGGTGTGGACGGGAGATGTGGGAGAGTGGATTGGGCGGAGGTGGAGCTTTGATGAGTGTATGTCTCTTTCAACGAGTTCATGGATAGATTGGACTCCCTCTCAGGCTCGAACATTACAGGCTCTGGAAGCCCTGCCCGAGAGCGAACAGCGCATTGCATTGGTCACCGGATGCAGGCGTGACACGTATGCGCTTATTCATCGGATCGCACTGTCCGATTGCAAGCACCTGAAACGATGATAGTCTTGTCACCGCCGCGGTCATACGGGACCATGTTCTGAAAGTGAAAAACAGTTCACACATCATCAGTTAAAATACAGATGCACATATGGAAACGCCGATGTCATGCCCTGGCGAATCGAATTGACGATACGCCATCTTCCCCAAACGCCTGTGAAGCCCCCCCCCCCCCCCCCCCCCCCCCAACAAAAACGCTGTCGACAATGTGTGAATGACCTGGCACATCATAGCTTTCCGTTCATGCGACGGCACAGGCAGCATCGGGTTTGTCGGCCTTGGGTGGGTACTTCTTGCCATCGACCTCATGTTTCGGTTCGCAGGTGCAACGCTCTGCCTCAGGAACTTCGTCGATGACCGTCGCGATGTGCTGGCCGCATCCCCACCATGATCGCTTGTCTGTAGACCGCGGTCGTCAGTCCGATACACCTTGATGGAATAACTGTAGGCAGCGCACGCGGCCGCAGCTGCGTGTATCCACGATGCTGCAGGGTCGGGGACTTACCACACTTGGAACAGGTTGCTTTCTTGCACATGTTTCGTTTCGGTGATGTTTATGGTGCGCTGGTGGCGGATGATGTTGGTATAAGCTTGATTTAGTTCTTTCTGATTCAGGGAGGGTATATGTGCGATCCTTGGTCTGTAGCAGTGGCCTTTCACGATCGCATTCGGTAATCCCGTTCGTCACCTAGGTCTATATATACCCTCTCCACTTCGAATCTGCAACAGTGATTTCAAATCTATCATACTTCACAGATAAGCTCTGCCATGCTGGAACGTGGATTGATAATGGGGCGTCTAGACCAGCGGGGCGCGGGAAGCTCGGGGTTCTCGGCGTCTTCGGGGTCTACATCACACAGCGTTTGGATTCACCGTCGTGTCTCTCCGGAACCTTGAGAAAAGTTGATGGCCAGTCACCCGAAAACTTGTTTCGGAGGAGAGTCCAAGTTGTCTGCAAAGCTTCCTCGTGTTTCAATGTGCAAGCGTACTTTTCCTCCACGCAGAACCTTCACATTGTTGCGACGGAGGCCACCATGAGAGAAAAGACTGTCGATGCGCCTTCGCGACTCGCCTGTGTGCAATGCCGGCGCCGGCACCTCAAGTGCGACGGTGTCACGCCAACGTGTCAGCGATGCATCGAGGAAGGCTCAGACTGCGTGTTCGCACCGTCAAGGCGTGGGCTCGCCAGGAAGCGTCCAGCTCCAGACAGCTCTGCGGTCCAGGCCGCAGAGCTCGGGAGGATGTCGATGAGGAAGCCCGACGAGACTGCACCGCGTAGCCAGATTAGCTCGCTCTCGCCGAGTGGGTCGTACAATGGAGCGACGTCCGACCTGGAGACGAGACTCAATTTCCGGCCACGAATGCCAGAGCTTGCATCAAACGTCAACATCGCATCTACGACAATGGCGACAATCAATCCTGGGCTCAGCGATGCGGACAAGAACAAGCTCATCAACAGCTTCTACCAACGCTTTTATCCAGCCCATCCGATCATAGTGCCGCGGGCCTTCTTCTCGTCGCAGCACTATCCCCATTATCTCGAACTGGTCATATGCTTCATCGGACAGCAATACCAATCCACTCCAGGTCCGGTGCCGAATCAGCTTCCGGGTAGCAACGCGATGAACCTCCACCATCTTGCGAGCGTTGCCATGTTGGAATCTAAGGACGAAGACACGGTCCACCGCGTACAGGCCCTCATATTTTATTCCATCGCTCTCCATGGACGGCATCAGACCAAAGAAGCGGAGTCGTGCGTCGCCCGAGCTGCGCGCATCGCGTTGATGGTGGGTCTGAATCGACCTGATTTTGCGCGTGACGCTCCGGTCCAAGACTTGAAGAGAGAGGAGAGCATTCGAAGGACCTGGTGGGAGCTCTACACCATCGACGCGTACATTTCCGCGCTGCATCGCAAACCAATGTTCACGAGCAGCAACATCAAACCTTTGCCACTTCTTCCTTGCGCGCAATCGGATTTTGAACTTTACGATCTTGACGTACCACCCGTCTCCCTCAACACTTTCAGTGGGCGAGTCTTTGCAGACGAAAATGTCGTATTTTCCTCGTACTGCTACCGGATTGAAGCAGCGCGCATCATCGAGCGAGTCTTGTCGCTTTCCGCGCTCGAGAGCGCTGAGCCGGACGAGATACAGAACGTTGACAACGCAATCGCCAGCTGGAAATTCCACCTGCCCAACCACGGCGACACTCTGATTCAATCGTCTGGCGAAGTCGACCCGCTGCTGTTCCAAGCTCATTTCATGATACACTGTGCGACTATTTTCCTCCACTTCCCGCGGAGCGAGCTACCCGCTACGATACCTTCGACCAACGACATCGCCTGCGCGAAAGGTTACCGACAACTTCCACCAACCTCTTCGCACCACACTGCGAAGACCATCAACGCCTCGAAAGAAATATCCAACCTCGCGTCGATTCCCGGACAACTCGATCAACATTCGCCCTTTTTCAGCTGCGGGCTCATTTTGAGCTGTATCGTCCAGCTCGCCGCCGCCTCGACGCACCTCCATTCTTGCGGCGCGCGATGCTTTCAGCAGCATCGCGACCGTGTCGTGTTGATCCTCGGCGTTCTCAAATGCCTAGGCCCAACCTGGGCAGTCGCACACAATGCTGTACAACAATTACGGGTTGTCGCGAACACGATTTTCACCGCTGACTCGCCGGAAGAGTGTGCCCCGACGACCAACAGCTCCATTCACGATAGTGCGTTGGACTTGGGCGAATTACCGGATTCGCTGTCTTGGTTCGATCTTCTCGCGCCGGGAGAGCTAGAGGAATCGCTACTCGCCTTCAGCAACACTCGGACTTGAACAGTCTTCCGCTGTCCATCAAGTCAGATTGATTCGTCACAGCCCCATGTGATTATATCGAACCGTGCCGCTTGCCATCCGATCGACGGCAGGCCGGCAGGATGGCGATCGATGTCGCTCGAGTCACCCCGCCAGCCGCTATATCCGCTTATCGCTACGCCTCATCACCATCGTCGTCAAGGATGGAGATTGAGCGTCGCGAGCTATCAACTAATCACAGTGCAGACTCTCTAGACCGAGTAGTTCTGCCATGAGAGTCGAGCCGATCAGGAGCTGTCGTACCATCACGCGTTCCGGTCACCGTACCCTGCAGAGGCCAATTCTAGATATTGTCGCAGATGGCTTCTTAGCTAGACCCGACCTGTTCCATCACTGGAGTGAGAAAGACTTCGAAGCGTTCGGACGGGTCTGCAATGTTGTCGAGCGACAACAGTTGAATATCGCTCGAAGAGAGATATAATGGACTAGAACTTATATGTAAATTCATTACGAAGCGAGCCGTGAGATGTATCGCGCCTCAGACGTTTGACGGATGAGAAGATCCTGCGCAGGCATAATATTTTGGACCTGGGCTACATATTTAGGATTCGCATGTTTGATCATTCGACATTAACCGTATAGCTGCATCCTGCAGGAGACCCAAGTAAGAAATCAAAGACACTCCAGCCACGACCATTTCTGCGAGTGAAACGAATGAAGCACAGTACATGCATAATGGCCGGGGTCATACGGCGCCTCAATCAATATTGCTCCCTCATGATCGCCGTTCTGAGATCAAATCCTGAAACTGAGCAATGGAGTCTTGGCCGGGGACTACTGAAACACCCCAATGCCACTAGTTCTCACGCTTGTAGAAACTTTCCCCGTCCCTGAACGCCACCAGCCCAGGCCTCCCCTTCACACAATCCGCTTTGTCATGGACCTCAAAGCGAAACGTCTCTAAAATTTGTCGAGGACGTCCTGAATAAGCATCGTGGATCCGCCGCCACGCTTCCACGTGGCGGCGACTTCTGTCGTTCGAAAACGACTAGCATATCGGTGTCTTGTCTCGGTGTCTCCGGGGTGATCATTACCAGCCCGATGCAAATCAGACACATAAGTACCTGACAATGTATTGCACATCTCATGACCAGTCTTTTGGTAGCGACACGCCACCCACCCGAAGTATTGCATCAATATATCTCCTGTCAAGTTCCCACAATGATGAAGCCGACGAGTCCATCTAAAATGCACAATTTCCGCCAGGTGTCTGACGACATGGAATTACACATGGTGGACAACAAGCAACAGAGCGTCATCCAATCGCTTGCATGGCAAGATCTCGGAGTCTCTGTAAAATCACGATCAGTTCAACGACCCAAAGTCATTCTCACGAATGCCTGGGGCATCGCTCGCCCAGGTGCGCAACTCCTGCATAGCGTTTTGATCAACTGGCAGCTGACCAATTCCAGGCGAGATGATGGCTCTAATGGGTCCTTCGGGCTCAGGCAAGACCACTTTACTTAACACTCTAGCTCAGAGACAAACAGCATCGGTCGAAGGACGCGTCATGATCAATGGCAAGCAACAATCCCTCTCTACTCATCGTACCATGAGCGCATACGTCGAGCAGGAAGACACTCTCATTGGATCAATGACCACACGAGAAACCATACGCTTCGCCGCACAGCTCGCGTTACCAAGGTAGGTCACTGCTCACATCGATGCCATGCCATGCATCCTGCTGACAAGCAGCTCGACGACAGCACGACGACGTCGAAAGAAATTGAGCGCCGTGTCGACCGGTTGATTGAAGAGTTCGGTCTCCAGGGTCAATCGAGCACATTGATCGGGACGCCGTTTCGGAAGGGTTTGAGTGGAGGTCAAAAACGCCGTGTCAGCGTTGCAGCGCAATTGATCACCGACCCGACCATCCTTTACCTGGACGAACCGACCAGTGGCTTAGATTCAACGGCCAGTTTCGAAGTCATTTCGTTCCTGAAGCGATACGCTCGGCAACATAATGTAAGCAACACCTACTTTAATATAACTGGCGTTGAACGACTAAAAAAGCTAAACCTTCCCTTCTAGATCATCGTCATCGCCAGCATACATCAACCCTCGACCAAGACCTTTGACCTGTTCGACCAAGTCGCCTTGCTCTCGCGTGGTAAAACTTGTTACGTTGGCAAGACATCACAATTGCCCGAATATTTCGCTGAGCTTGGCTATGATATCCCCGCCATGATGAATCCCGCGGAACATGTGATCGACTTGATCAACGTCGATTTCTGCGACGACAGCAGCTCAGCTGAGTGCCTCGAGGACATTTTCGCGCGATGGCAATCGAGCACAACAAACCAAGGGCTGGTCTCGACCATTCAGAGCCAGTCGCGGAACTCGGGGGGCAGCACGCTCGACTTCAAGAACAAGACCAGGGAGAAGCCCGGGCTCGTCCGGCAGACTCTCATCTTACTTCATCGGTCGTTTCTCAAGAGTTATCGTGATCTGGTGACCTACTGGGTGCGACTGGTCATGTACATGGGCCTCGCGTTTATGATGGGCACCGTTTGGCTCCGCCTATCGACTGATCAGGCTCACATCCAACCATTCGTGAACGCAATCGTAAGTGAACGTCGGCAGATCATCTCCCTCCGAGTAGATTCTAACGTGGGAATTAGTTCTTCGGCTCGGCATTCATGTCATTTATGGCCGTCGCCTACGTACCCGCGTTTCTTGAAGACCGATTTGTGTTCGTCAAGGAACGGTCCAACGGACTCTATGGACCGACCGCCTTTCTGCTCTCGAACTTCATCATTGGTATCCCATATCTCTGTAAGTGGTGCAGTGCGCTTACGCTTTGACTCAAGCACATTCTGCAGATCACTGATACCTCGTACAGTTCTCATTTCGCTGCTTTTCTCGTTCGTAGCCTATTGGCTCGGCAATTTCAACCCGACTGCACAGCACTTCTTCATCTGGGTCCTATGGCTATTCCTGGATCTACTCGCCGCTGAGTCGCTTGTCGTACTCGTAGCTTCCATCATCCCCAACTTCGTCGGAGCCCTCGCGATCACCGCATTTGCGAATGGCCTTTGGATGAGCGTGGGCGGCTTCCTCGTCCCTCTACCGGTATTAAATAGTTTCTGGAAGTATGTCTTCCACTATTGGGACTACCAGACATACGTCTTCCAGGGGATGATGGTCAACGAGTTCGAGACTCGGACGTACGAGTGTCAGGATGCCCGGCTTGGACCCGGACAGTGCCACTGCATGTTCCCGAGCGCCTTGCAGGATCAATGTCTGATTCCTGGAACAGCAGTTCTTCAGCAGTATGGTTATGAGACTGGTTTGCAGGCTCAGTGGCTCGGGATCATGGTTGTTATCATCTTCGGTTATCGCATTGCTGGCTGGTTGGTTGCGGTGCTGCGCAAGAATTAATCCCTCGGATCTTGCGCTTGGGATTATACCACTCCCTGATGAGGAGTCACTTGTTTACGATGTACAATACACAGCGAATACGACTAGAAGCAAGATTTGGTCAAGAGGTGATGTTAGTTTTACCATTCGCGCGACTCAAATCCTGTGTTGACGAGCAACAGATTTCATTATTAGAAGTGTTCTAATTAGGAAATTGTTCTGGATAAAGTACATAACATGTAGCACGAAATGCGAGACGAGCCCCAAGTTGTCTTCATCGTAGCTTTTCTATCCTTTGATCACGGCTTCAGGACCGAAGGAGGCTGTATACAAATTGTGATCACAATCCACTGCAGTTGGAAATTCACGATATCCTGTACCATTGATTATTTCATAATATTCAAAAGTTCTACAGCTCATCTCTCGTAGAATTCTCGTTAATCTCGTTCATCTCGATCTCTTGAAACATCAAAATCGACTCCAAACGTGAATGGACTAATTACAAATTGCTCCCGAACAATTGATCTGCTGAAGCATCCATCTTGAGAGGCAAATGCAACAACCGCTTTCCGGACGCATCGGGCGTCGGCAGGCGGCCACCACGGATGTTCATCTGAAGAGCGTGATGCAGGAGCTTGGGCTCGGATAATGTCATATCGCGAGTCGAGCGAAGTGCGACGAAATCTTCCTTAGTGATGCTGTCCTTGAAGTGCTTATTTTGGGCGCGATGGTCCGCGACGGTGGCACAAGCGAGCGCATCGTCTCGTCCACTTGGCGGGTAGTCGTGACCGACCCAGAGCTTGACATTGTCAGGCAGGCTCAGAATCTTCGTCTTGGAAGAATAGAGACTTTCTGCGGACCCGCCGGGGAAGTCTGCACGCGCAGAACCGACATCGACGTTGAAAATTGAGTCGCCGGCGAATACATTTTCTTCGAGGTCCATGTCAGTCAATATTCCGAAGGGATATTTGTTAAGAGAGTAGTTACATACCTCCAATTTGGTAGCCGACATGGTCAGGAGTGTGGCCGGGGAGGTGCATGATTTTGGCTTGCAGGGCGCCGATTTGGAAGATTTCGTCGTCTTGAAATAAATGGTCGAAGGCATTCTCATATTCACTGGCGGCAATCTGATATTGCGCACCAAAGTGCGCCTGGACTTGTACTATGCGACGACCAATACCGATCGTGGGTCGTCGACCAGATTCGGACTCGAGTCTATTCTGCAGATAAGCAGCTGCTGTGACGTGGTCGGCATGCGCGTGGGTCTCCAGGATCTTCTCAACCCGGTACCCATGCTGGCGCACAATCTGGAGGAGACCGTCCGCTGATTGTGATGAGAGCTTTAGAGTTGCTGGATCGATGTCAAGAACGGAGTCGATGATGACCGCACCCAAGGTCTTTGGATCGGCGACGATATATTGCCATGTGCTTGTTCGCGGTTCGAAGATGCTGTGGATGATCGGCTGTTGAGCAGACATGGTCGTTGTAGTCATGTCTTGAAATGCAAATTGCGACAGTCTGTATTGGATGTTGGACGGCAGTTGATGGAACTGGGGATCAGTTTGTCTGTTTGATATGTTTGTTGAATAAGGATGATGCCAGATGAACTGTCGGGGCTTCGAGGCTTTAAGGGTAATCGTCCTTCGTGACAACGAGACGAACAACCTTGATCGATGCATGATCTCAAAGCACTTGCGCACATCGCGATGCTAGCACCTGTGCGCATTTTTCGAGGTGCTGCGGTGTATATGGTCTTCATCGAGTTCTTGCGTCAGCGGATGAGTCGAGGTGCCGGTGAGTTCGGGCTGTGAACTGTCGAAGGAGATCTGCAGACTTCCGCCCGCGTGTGTTGTGTCATCAAGACCCCGAAGACCCCGAAGACCCCGGACAGGTCCAACTTTGGTTGCCGCTCACCAATAGCAACAGCACGCCGCATGATAAACTTGGAATGCACACGCATCTATTTACCAACATCATCACACGCAGAATCATCAGTGGTCGCATCGTGATTATGTTCAGCCACCGATAAGGAATTGGTCATGCTCGACATGGCTCCGGGATATTCGAAGGTCTCGTCCGCTTTGCATTCCCGTGCATCATCCCTGTTGTATGGTTGCGGGACTATCGCTCGTTGGAAGCCCAATGCGTCGCCAATACAATAGCACCGGCATGTATCGATGCTTAGCCAAGCATTCCGGGCAAATTATTGAATGTCAGCGATCCATCGTCCGCGGTTCGTGTGAATGCGCGTTCTGGGCATTTTCAAATTGGCGCAGCTCGTTAATTGTAAAATTCTAGACGGTCGTCGTGAGTTGGCCGACATTGCACGTGGAAGAAGGTGATTTATTGTTGGCTGTATGTACCATCATTGTAAGCGGACTATGACATCGATAAAACATCACTCATTGAAACAAAATACAGAATGCAGCTGATGAGTGCAGAGAAACCATCAGGCTATAGCAAGAAAACAAGCGGTCGTAACCCGGTCATCAGGAATCACTCCGGCAATCATACTTGAGAAGTTATCACAGGCGAATCTTTTTGGGAGTCTGCACCCTGCAGACTATGCTCCCTTCCTGGCTCGGCCTCATTACAGAAAAACGAGACAGCCACCAGGAGCTTGATTGCGCCGCTGATTGCGACAGCAGGAGCGCTGCCAATGACCTTCGCGATTGCGGCGCCAATGAAGCTTCCAGCGATGAGTGAGACAAGGAACGCGACTCTGCGATTTCGTCCGCGGTTCGTGCTGAGTGAGGCAAATAGCTTAGGATCGATGAACACATCAACGTAGGCCGCTGTGGCCATAGCCGTAGTAATATCTGAGATCTTCATGGCGCGGACCATTGCCACTTGCATGCCTGAAGAGAAGGCGAGAATTGCAAGGGTGATCCGGCCGAGTGTGGTATTGTCCGCTTGGGCATCAAGGTAGCCAAATTGCAGCCCTGCGGCAAGGAAGACTAGGAGTGTCTGCACCAGGCTGGATGTCACCAACCACCATCGTCGGTCGGTTGCACGCAGAAGATTTGCTGTCTGGCCAGAGAGTAGGTTGCCCAGCGCGAAAAACCCGAGAGAGGTCATGATCGTCTCGACTAAGAAGTTGTTGGGTGGAGTGCTGCTTGGACCGAGGGAAGCTGGCTGGAGGATACCGACGGCGAGGAGGACCGTATTCCCGGTCTGATTTGAGGCGAAGCAGTGAAAGTCCGGTACAGAGATAGCATCTTGAATACCAATGGCCAATGCGAGCATGAATAGTTGAGCCTCAAGGAGATGCGATTTGGTGTTGACATTTTGACGGAGCTGTCGGAGCAACTGATTGACCAAACTTGGTCTCGGAGACTGTGCTTGCTTTACATTCATGACGGTGGTAGCGGCGCTTGGGACTATGTGTTGAGATTTTGTTCTGAGATCTGAAGTGCTTGCTAACGCTCGAAGGACTCGACGCTGGACTATTCAAGTTTTTCATGTGCATTGCAAAACTCGGCATGATGAAGAGACTCTCGTCGCATTCGGCGATCAGACTTTTCTGGAAGATTTTCAAGGTCAACATCATCTTCGTAGGGAGCAGAATGTTCGATAGGCTTTCGTGATCACTGCGCATGACACGCATATGGATGTGCATTAATAAGCTCTCTCTGAGATCGATGGTCTGGAATCCCATCGCCCTGTTCTCATAAAGCCCGGCAGGCTGAGTATAGTCCCCGAGCAATGTTTTCGACAAACGCTCGTATTGCTGCCCTTGTGCACGTCATTGTGAGGTTCTATAAGAATAACTATGTTTTCCGTCGAAGGACTAGGGCTCAAAAGCGCAATATCGAACGCATCACGGTACTCAACAATCTTCAAACGTCAAAGTCATATTTCAGATAACAAAGATCGTCCCTCAAATCGCCATGATTTTCGACGCGGTTTCATCCGCCGCGGCTGGAAGCGTATTTGGTGCCGCCCTATTGGCCTCAGGCGTACATCACCCGGCGATCATCCAGGAACAATTCCGACTGAATAACTTCCGCATGCTGCACACCTTTACGATCGCTATGGGATCTGGCGCGTACGTCTATCTACCAATTTAATCCCAAGTTTGTTTCTCCTACGATTGCTAACGGCGTGTTGCTCGCAGAATTGCCATGTTGGCCCTGAAATTGCGGGGCTCTCCTTCTCCGCGTCAGCACGTTCGCAGCAACACGCCGCTCGGCACCCGCCTTGGCCAATACGACGGGAACCTGATCGGCGGCGCAATTCTCGGCGTGGGGATGGCTCTTACCGGCGCTTGTCCCGGCACCATGATCGTGCAGCTCGCCGACTCCGGGACTTACTGGTCGTTCGGGTCTGTGCAACTCACCTTGCTCGGAGCGCTGACCGGTGCTGTCTTGCATGCCCTCTTCTCTCGTCAGCTCAAACGTAGCTGCGACCGTGACGTCTACTCTGATCCGGCCTCAGCACCAAAGCCCTCACCATCGAAACCCACTTTATCCGATGTCACTGGTATGTCGGAGGCAGCAGTCTATGTGGCGTTCGGTACCGCGATCGCCGCCATACTCCGGTATACTCCTGTCATTGCGGACGGTAATGCCATGACGACTCCAATTGTTGGTGGACTCATCATCGGCTTGGCTCAAGTATCATCGCTTCTACTGACCGGCGGACTGGTTGGCGTTTCGACAAGTTACGAGCAAGCCGCGCGATATGTTCTCAACGCATTTGGCATATCAGGAATCGAAAAGCCCCGCTGGCCACCAAGGGCAATCGTCTTCTCGGCTGGTATCTTCGCCGGTGCACTAGGCCTTTCCAAGTCGGGCCTGAGGACGGAAACTGCGGCGAGTCTTATCAACCGGGATTTGTTGTCAACGGCAGCACTGCCCAGCTGGCAAGCGTTCTTGGGTGGTCTGGCGGTAGTCTTTGGCGCGAGGACTGCTGGAGGTTGCACGTCTGGCCATGGACTTTCAGGTCTCGCCTCCCTCTCATTCTCGAGCTTTCTGACCGTCGCAGCCATTTTTGGAGCTGGCATCGGTACTACGCTGTTAATGGATCGAATCTAATGCGCGAGTGCACCGCATGTGCACAATGCAGTTTATACCTCTCAACATTGAACTTTCAACGCAGAGTCTGTGACAATTCTTTTGACGTGTAATCCGAACAAGATAGATAATTTCAGGCTTCTACAACTCCATCGTTTTCCCCACAGAATTTGCAGCGCGACCCGAGATACGCAAAATCGAGACGTCCGTTGGCGAAAGTCATGCTAGCCATAACCGATCGAAATGCCAGGCGGTCTTCATCTCACCAGTGACACGTTATGGCCATGAGTCTTTGACGGATTGGCTCCATATCTGTAGAGAAACTGAAGTACTGACCTTCGGGTTTCACCCAACGGGAAGGCGACGCATCCATGGTTGTACCGGCGAAGGATCGTCAGGTTTGATTAATCTCACGAGGAGATCCACTACAATGATCTCGATCCCAGCTACGGGCAAAGAGAAATATGAATCTGGATTTGAGCTTCACAAACTCCTAACAGGATCGCAATAGCGACGACAAGCTCCCCGGATAATTCTCCAGAGCGTGCCTACAGAATTTGCTCGGTAGAGAGCGTCTCTGCGGCGGATAATTCTCGAAAAATTGCCTTCTTCATTTCACCTTTGCTGCCTAAGTCCATGGGAAAGCCTGGAAATCATTCTGGTGAAGAAATCCCCATCAAGTGAGTGCGATGACACTCCTTGGCTTTCTGACTGATATCTGTAGGGAAGGCGACGAGATATCGGCGTCATTTCGTATTTGCGACATTGACTAATGGTGCATGGACTCCTGGCCGGTACATGCCTAGATAGGTGTTTAGCCACGGCGCGGACATTGTTCATACCATCTTAGACCTTCAAACCATGTCCAATTGAATAACTTCTTCTTAGCCAGGTAGTCATGTGAATGTCGCCGGGACATGCCGGTTCGATGATGGAAGGCGCCATCGATCGAGCGGAGCAGCGTCGCGGGCTTGTTTGTTCTGGAAAAACAGCAGTGTCACGTGAGTACTCTCATCACTGCTCGTGGTTCAGACCGCACGTCTTCTCAATATAAGATCGCATCGCATCGCATCGCGTCGTATCGCATCGTTGCGCATGAATCGAACAACATGCAATGAACGCCAAAGGAGATTCTTTACAACAGCATATTACAAATCATCGCCATTTTCAGAGTGGCACATCCTCGGAAGCTCTAAGGTGGTTTCAAGCATGCGGGCGGGGCGGCGCCTAAGCCGTGGGCAGCAGCAGCAAATGTGTGTCCCAAGGATCGGCGGGCCGCAGGAGTTCCTGCTTTCCTCTGCTCCACAATCTTGGAAAACCCCACTCCTCCCAGCCATCTTGGTGGTGTCTATCAGCAGCGTCGTCGTGCTTATCGATAGCAGTGTCGTCTGATCTGACTCGGGACGGACGAGCAGAGTTGCCATATCACACAGCATCCGTCAAGAACGTGATTATCGTATACTGGACTGCAGCAGAATATGCACTTCCGCGCCGATCTTACTGACATCCTTGCTTTGATCGATGTTCAACAACCACTCCGCTGTCCGGAAACGCGTCTGCCCAGCATATGTACCCGTTCCATCGTCCAATCGTGTGCATCCCGCAGTCTTGCCAATGTAAAATGCCGAGAGTAGGCGAGTTGGCCGACTTGAGCAGCTTTCGGCATGGTCGCTCTTGAACCCGGATGGTCAGCCTACAGTAGCTCGATGTCGTGCCTTGTTTGCACAACTTTGGCCGATACCCATCACACCACTACCTACCTATAGCAGGCACAGTCGTGTAGCTCTACCCGGGATGACGAAGCGATTCACGGCGAGGATAATACTCGTCCCAGCTTCTGACTCCTCGGGGTCGTCAGCCACTTAAATCCCACGACACGTGCTCTCCTTCCGCATTGCTGCGTCACGCCGAGAAATGCATGTCTTCCTGTTTTCTATGCTGTCTTGATGGTAGCTTCTCTTGTGCTCCCTCACACCTTGATCCCGAGTTCGTTTTCCACCTCACCGCTCGTTTGAGAGGATTTGTCTGCTATCATACCTCTGGTATCGTTGTCGCCAAATCAAACCAGATACGTGCGTGAAATCCACCCACACAGCTCCCGCCAACTATCCCACGCATCACTACCTCTCGGAAGAGCGGCACAACATATTCGGAGAGCGAAGAATCCGACAAGGTCAAAGACTCACCACCTGACGAAGGGAGCAGACGAGACCTCACCAGCTGCCATCCGATCTATAATCACGCCCACCCAAAACCCTCTCAACCTACCTCGAGCACAACATCTCGTCTGCCACCATGCCATCGACGCCCATCCGCCGCAACGGCATCTTTAACACTCCCGCCATCCGCACCGGCGGGATCGGCGCCCTGCAAGTCGAAGCTCTCACCAACCGGCCCTTAAGCATTGCCCGTCGCCACCTCGCCGCCAGCCAGCTGCGGATGCGCGACATCGAACCGGACGAGCTCAGCAGCAGCGACTGGGTCTGTTTCCTGGTGATGCCACCCCCCGAGCGCGAGCGCTGGATCGCAGGCTTTGTGGCTGCAAGACGGAGACGTCAGGGTAGTGCCGGTGAGAGCGATTCGGAGTCGGAGGGACGCTCGCCGTTTTCGACTCCCGCGCGGACGTTTTCGGACAAATCCCCTGCCTCGACTTCGGCTCCGTCAGGCTCGGACCCCGTGAGGAGTATGCCTACCCCCGTCGCGGCCGCTTCGACGAGGTCGGAGGGAAGAGTGCCCCCTGCGAGTATATTTGCGCGAGGATTCGATCGGGAGAGTTCCGTGTCGGATGAAGAAGGGCCCTTGGCTCAACGTCCGCGTCATGCCCGACGGGCCGTGTCGGCTGGTGGGATTATTCTCGGCGCTGCGGTGCCGCCGCCGACGTACGGGGATGCGTTGAGGTCGAGGGGGCCGCCGCCTGCTTATCGACGAAATTAACGTCGGGAATGAGTTGTGCTTTCCCACAACGCCAAATGAGTTGATTTTCAAGATTTTATGGTCTGCTTTGTTCGTTTCGCAACTTGCGATTCGATGCTTGGTTTTTGAGTTCAGAGGAAAAGGGCGTTCTCGGGCGTTGATTTGCATTTCCACCTCGTTCACACGATTTATGATCAGATTTGCCATCGTTCCATGAAGAATCAAATTCTGGCATCAATAACTACGTATCCTCTGAGAAAGTCCTGCAGACATGAGGAATATCAACGCAGACTCCCTCGGGCCACGCGCCACCTAGATCCTTTTTTGTAGAGCCCATCATCTACATAGGCTCTATTCGATTTCCAGAGACGATTTCCATCTTCCTCTCTCCGCGAAAAAAGGGTTTAACAAGGACAGACGAAAGTCATGCGCATTTGTAGAGTATAGCTGGTCGATTGGAGATGAATGCTAAGCCGTTCCGTCCATCTCGTCAACCCTCTGTAGCCGGGCTCGTTCCTTGCATAGTGATAGCACCGTGAAAACATCGTACACTGAACCCCACGTCATCTTCCATTTCTCTCAAAGTCCGCCAGCGAATTGGGCTTGTGGAGAGTCGGCCGATGCTACACTCGGCGACCAACCGAGAGGCGAGCTTGATTGACATGTCGGTCCAAGCCAGTATGACCGCCGAAAGCCCATTGACCGGAATGTTCTTGTGCGGAACTGATTGTCATGGGCTGGCATGTGGTGTCTTCCCCCTCACGGCTATCCTTCGATTCTACATTCGGGAATGTTGTTCGGGGCCATGTTCAGCAAATCATCGTGGCTCACGGCTCGTCAAATCAAGTTGGCTGAGGCGTCTTCGGGGAGATCATACCGCAGCACAGTAATTCTACTGAAAGTCACCAATTTTTTGAATACGCTGTAAAAAGAGCTCCATGTCTATGATCGTACCGTTCGCTCCTTCAAGATTTTACATCCTAGAACCTGTTCAGTCCTGGAGTAAATTCATTCTGGCTACGGGATCACATCGTCCAGCCCATTGCACACCGCAGTGTTCTGCTCATAATCATGCCTCCAGCCATCAAACAATCCAGCACAGCAAGACGCAAACGTTTGGCCGAGTACATCGAGCTGCACGGCAAAGTCAAAACAAGGCGATGTTTAAAAATTGTACTAAGCATAGCCGAGTCTGTTATGTTCACGCTCGTTCCGCTCGCTGTAGCGAGTGCAATCGGCGCGGATTAGCGAATTGTGGAATCGAGATGTCGGATCTTAAATGGAATGATATGCGATCAGAGCGCGACGCTCTTGTGGCTCAGCTTGTGGAAGCGCGAAGGGCTACAGGAGCCGCCGTCGCTCGGGAACGAGAAGCTCGGGAGATGTCGACAATCGCATGGGCGAGGGAGGAGCGCGTCCATCATCAACTGTCGGTGCTGGAGACGAAAGTCGGGGACGCGATAGCAAACGAAGATGCTAGGCTTTGGGAACCGGACAGCGATGGACATTCAGTGTCAAGCTCTTTGTTGCCTCTTGACCTTGACTTCAATAATAGTCAAGCCTTGTCTAATCTCGCGAATTCGAGGGCACCGTTCGACTCAGAGTTGACTACATTTGAGACATTGCAGTCCTTGCTCGATTCCAATTCTTCGGACATCAATGAAGGCTGGTTTGCACGGTCAGACTAGATTGGAATGCTGTCATCTCATACCAAGCTGATTGCGTCGCTCCCGGGACATATCTCTGGAGCTCCGGACCAACACGGGTGCTAGCTCGCACAAGTCGCAGACTCCGTGCATGACCTTGCATAATCTTATGATTGTGCTGTCATTCGACAATGTATTTGTGCTGTCACGATCAAACAAATCAACTCGGGGAGACAAGATCCGCCCTGATTGCGCTCCTGCATGATTTCAGAATGATATTTCACAAAACATCCCAGAAGCTCTCTATTCAACATCACTCGAATGTGATCATGATACTCTAGCTATTGGCTCTTCCTCCTCCTCCATCTTCGTGGATCAGAGCGCCACAGTGGTACATCGAATGTCGACTTCTGCAACCAGTGTAGACTCAGGTGCCAGGCCCGACTGAGAATAGACCGCGTAATCTGCTTCTTGGGGTGCGTTGAGCTCGTGAATATAAGTATCATCCGTCTCGAACAAGATGCTATTCCACACAGTGTTTGGCACTTCAGAGAAAGGGTGGGTGCCAACAGCATTCACGATCAGGTAGACGGCTGTCTCCACATTGGTCATGGTTGTGACAACACTAGCCAGCACTTCCAGCAGGTAACCTGACTCTGAGATCGATGCCCAAGCAGCCACCACTGCATCGTCGAGGAGAGATTCGATCTCCGTGCCGTAAGTGGGTTGAACCACCTTGGTGGTATGGCCCGCGAAATATGTCGCTTGTTCGGGATCTTGTGGTCCGATAGAAAATGTCCAGTTGCCTGGATTGATCTCGTCGCGTTTTGTGAAAGGTGCAATCGTGGTACGCGTGATCGGTACTGCGGGTGGAGCTGTGACCATGGCCCGAGCTGTGGTGACCAGAGTCAACGGGGTACGTAGAGCCAATGAAGAATGGAAGAAAAGCAGCGACGAGATGAGAATCATCATCTTGGAATAGAGGATACGATCCATTTTAGCAGCAAAGCTTGTGTGCGTTTCGAGATGTCTCCGGCTGAGGTTGTATCTTTGTCACGGTGTATATGCGGAGACTTTTGAGGGAGAGTGTGCGACTCAACACAGCAGTCACCTCAGACTTTGGGTGCTCTTAAGTATGGCGCCTGTGAGTCTACACAGGTGATCGGCGAATCACTGATCATTTGCTTAGAGCTCACCGAGCACCATGATCATCCCGACATTGCTTTGTTGAAATGCCGGATAGCGCAGGTTGATGGTGTTCACCGATCACCTTCTACCGAGCAGACCAAGCGTACCGAGCGTAGCAATCACCTATTCTGAGCTGCGATGTACGCCGCACCATTCGCTGTGGATCGATGCCCCAAAGAAATCCTATGCACGGATGATGCACATAACAATGCACTTCAATGAAGCATGGTCTTGCCATTATGAAGCGACATTTTCGAATTCAGCTTGCTGCCGTAGCCATGTGCTGAAGATCTGTTCGTTTCCTCACATTTTACCGAGTTCGACTTTTGATTGCGGGCTTTATCACAAAATGATCTACAGCAAGAAAATTGTGTTGTGCTCATCAGCAGTAAAGTCCCGGGTCTAACTTTTGCCTGATGTCTTTCCTTTTTTCAAGACCGTGCATCAGGATGGTGGCGGTGATGCTCTTCTCGGCCGGGCCAGAAACTCATTCCAGTGTCTTTCGCTCCTCTGCTTTCTCCAAACTCGAGAATTTCGATCTTGATTTCCGCCCTGAGCGAGGGTAATCACCATGCTTGAGTCACCGCAAGCCTCGCTACGAGACCATCGGCTGTTACTGGCTTCACGATCGCGCTTACAATCCTCATTCAACCAGTAAGTGCCATTGCCATCATTGGTCTGTGGCCCGCGGAAGTCTTCTTCCTGGGGTTCTGTAGGGAGCGGCAGACCTTCTACTCTCCAGCAGGAATCTTGTACATCGAAGTATTGGAATTTGAGAGGCATGACTGTCCATTGATGAATCGTCTTCAAGCCGATCCGAGGCATGAAGTTGTGATAGCTTGTGTGCGGCATTCCGCTTGAGCGGATGACTTTTCTCGTGATTGTCTTCCTTTCGTCAGGTATGGCAGGGTCGTCTAGGTAAGGACATCCATGAGGATACATGAAGACCTGCAAAGTACAGCCGCGCACGAGACGCGCTTCGATGATGTCCCATAGCATACTCAGAGTGATGAATGCATCATTTCTATGGGCAGAACCTTTCCCGATCATGGCAGGGTTCGTGTCCAAATCGATGGCGGCCCAATCGTGCCACCAGTCAATACGTTGGATGGGATACTGCGTCAAAAGCATTTTGCGCCATGAAGCCTCTGTCCGCATAAACGCAAGTCTTGACGGATCATTCAGGTTCGACCAGTCATGCGGTGCCCATGGAAGTTTCGCGAGATCTTCGTATGTGCAGAATCGCGATTGGAGGCCGACGCTACCATCCGGTAACTCACAAGGCAACATTGGAAACACCCCAGCGAAAAATTTCCTCATAACAGGGTTGACGATGACAGGCTCAAAGTTCGCCGGTCCTGGGATCGAAGGATAGCGAGGTTTCATAAACAAGTTTTCTTGTAGACCGGGAGTTCCTTGTATGGAGCTTCTCCACGTGCGGCAGACCTGCTGGCACCTGGAGAGAACGATGGCGTCTAGCTTATGGAAGATTAAGGAAACCAGCTCCGGAATGAGGAATGCCCGATCACTTGCGGTGCCGGGGTCCATCGCGGAAAAGGCCCGGTTGAATACAGTGTTGGCGTGCGCGATGTTGTTCCTAGGAACAGGAGGCTGTTATTGAAAATTTTCCACGCGGGCGATCGATCAGCTACAATATTTGATATGCGCAGATGACACGTACTGCTGTAATTCGAGATGAGCCGAACCATTCGTGCTGCGCCGCACGTTTCGAGTGCATACGTCACGGGTGGTCAAATACGCATCTCTCTTTTTCATTCCGCTGCTGGGCAAAGACAATGTGCGTGAACAGATGTGTAAGCCATGCTTGTATCCCATTTTGGCACCGTAGTGGCTATCCATCGTCGATGAAACAGTGCAACACCGGTGCTTTGCCTCCACAGTTCACCGAGTCTCGCTTGCTTCTGGTGTACATGGGCTTTACCTGGCAGATTTGACCAACAGCGGCAGGCAGATGTAAGGAAGGCCGGCGGATTTGTGATCTCTCGTATCATGCGCGGAGGTTGGGGTTCGCTGGAATGCGATGAAGTGGGGGGATCTTTGATACGCGCCGAGATACTTTGAGGGTCATCACGGCATCCGTGTTCTACCACGATCTTCTCTTCGATCTCCAGTTGTGCAGTACTGATCAGCAGACAGCCGCTCGGGAGTGGCGTAGTCAGCGGAGAATGAATCTCTTCCTGCGACATATTGCGTTGGCAAGCGTGAAGAGGGCCTGGCGCCCATCTGCTGGTCGTCGACGTCGCGTCATTCGCTATCCGCGGAGCAAGACCCTAACCCACGCCTCAGGCCTCACGCTCACGCTGCGCACCATAACGTTCTGTTGCAAGCATGCGCCCTACGATAAGCTGCCTCACCGGTCGGAGGTCAACGCCGACCAGTCGCAAATTGCCATCTCAGCCGTCGGCTCTTCGTCCTCTGACAACAATAATTCTCCATCGCCTCAGATCCAAGACGTGGCTCATGCTCACGCCATGTCTCGACACTCCGAGTTCCTCAAGACGAAACTGAGTGGCATCTCCGCCAAGACGTTGGCCCTTGGGGGCAAACAGTACATCCGAAAGCGGAACGAGCAAAAGGTAGCAGGGATCATCGAGTGCTGCCTTCGTAGAAGGGACAGGTGCTGATCCGGAGCAGATCAAATATGGAGAGGAATTCACACATGCGCCCCTTAGTGGGCCGAGGTGCGTTCGGGTCCTGCGGATTCACCCCGGCGAAGACACCGACTTGGTCGCCTGCGACTTGGTGGAAATTGACCTGGACCAAGATCCGCTTCCAGCCTACGAAGCGCTCTCGTATTCGTGGAATGAGGATATCGAGTTTGATCTCCTGAAATCCAACTACACGCGCGAACCCAAGCCCGATGAAAGGCCGATCTTGTGCAACGGTCGGACCCGTCATGTCACCATGAACCTATACCATGCGTTGACGGAATTCCGTCGCCAGGGTTTCACGACTCCTCTGTGGGCGGACCAGATCTGCATCTGTCAGACCAATGCGGCAGAAGTTATGGCACAAATCGCCATGATGGAAGACATCTATCGTTCGGCGTCGCGCGTGACTATTTGGCTGGGCAAATTGAATGCGTATCGACGAAAGGCTCTGGACCGTCTGGACCATTTACCGGAATATAGCGTAGAGAACTACTTGCGATCCGCCCAGTCGAGCTCCGATCCTAATGATACACAGCCTGTGAATCGTTCCGGGAATTCGATCGGGGTTGCTTTCGACATAATCGGTGATGTGTTCGGTGATGTTATCGACAAGATCGGTGAGGCTTGGCGAGAGACAGCCGCATATTCGATCGTGGGTCGAAATTGGTTTCGAAGAGCTTGGACGTTACAGGAATTCTTCCTTGCCCGAAAATTTCGCATGCTCATGGGCGATCGCGAAGTGTCACCGTCATCTATCGTCAAGGGCGCATTTCATATCTTGGCTTATTTCAACCAAGATAGCAATGCGCTTATTGGGGCCAATCATTCGTCGTCGGTCGACCCGACGATAATTCAAGCTCTTCATCGACTGGTCTACCTATTCGATGAGCGTCGGCAATTCCAGCATGGCAAGGTGTACTCGGCTGCGGAGTACCTGAGTGTGATACGCACCCGCTTGGCAACGGTGAAGAAAGACAAAGTGGCTGCAGGAACCGCGCTGATGAAACGTCATGCCTCGGCCCGTCAAGTCTATCCTTTGACGACGCTCGAAGTGTTCAAGAACTATTCTATAGACCACCTGTGGCCCGAAGTCGGGGTATCTGCCTTGTCTTTGGTGGGCGTGACTCGACCAAGAACTGAAGGATTACCATCCTGGGCCCCTGACCTCGACTGTGTCTTGACACCGCTTCCCTTAAGCAACTGCGGTTGTCCAGTCTCTGACATCACTCTCGGACCTACCGAGGCCGTGTGGCGGATTGATGACAGAATCCTGTATCTAACTGTCGCAGAGTGGGACGTGGTTGAAGCCATTGGCGAGACCATCTGGAGCTGGATTGGGTTCGTGGACGATCCCTACAATGCCGAACAACCCAAATTCACGTACAACACCTACACAGTAGCGGCGCCCAGGGACACGTCCACCACAGCGGCCCAAGAGCGATTCGGTGTTATGTTTGGCCTCCTCGATCATTTCGACATGGACTACCCGGCAACCGGCGAACGCCTCGTCGATGCATTCTGGCAGACGTTGATCGGCGGCCACAATGTCAAGTCAGGGGACTCGATGCTCAAATGGCGCCACCGATTTCAGGTCTTCTTCGCTCATACCCGACGAAAGATTTTCTCGGAACTTGACCGCGAAGCGGGAGGAGAAAAAAATGTGCTTTCCTTTTCGACCAGGAAGAAATGGCTGATACCTCTCGTTGCGGAACGTGCTGCGTTTGAGGCTCGTGTCCGGGAGTTTGTGGACATGTACGACAAGTGTATCGGGTCAGTCGACGACGGCGACGAAGGTCGACCTACGCTCGCCAGATCGATCAATCTCGAGGATGAGAACCCCATGACCGGGTTTGGGGACGATGCCTCACGCGTGGCAGAAGTCGGCCGCTTCATGAAAGTCTTCGCCAACGTATACCGTGGCCGACGCATCTTCCGGTCTCGCAAGGGCTACCTGGGCATCGGCACGGAAGCCATCCAGGCCGGCGATGTCGTTGCATTCGTCGCCGGCGCACGCGTGCCGTACGCTTTTAGGCCCATGAGAGGCACAACCGATACGTATACATTGATTGGCGAAGCGTACGTCCATGGGCTGAGCGATGAGACGATCAAAGCATCGGAGCCGGAAATGCGAGGGATCCGGGTGATCTAAAACTTGACTTGAGTGGTGGTTCGACTTTATCGATATCTTGTATGGCGTACAATTCCATCAATATCTCGTACAGGCCGTCGAGCCACGACAGAGGCAAGGCCTCTAAGACCCGGATTGTGAAAGTCTCTTGTCGGAGTGCAATAGTTTGAATTGCCAATCGAGAAATAGTTTACTACGAGCTATCCCTTTGGGGTTGCCTCCGCAACCCTTCTCGACTTAAAGCTTCGTTTCGTTAATATTCTCTTTACAGGATAATTGTTATAACCGTGCCGGGCCCTCTACGCGGTAGTAAGGACTCAATTGAATTACTAACTAACTACTCCGAGGCCTATATTACTATATTATCTACCTACTAAGGCTAATTAGACTTTAGCCTTAGGCTAACTTAGTTATTAAGCTACCTTAGGTATTAAATAGTAGTATTAGTATAAGATACTAAAGGCCTAAGGCTAGCTTAGTAGGTTAGGTACCTTAGGTACTAAATAGTAATATTAATATAAGGATATTATACTCCGGTTCTAGTATTACGATCTAGCCCCGCTAACGTAACCTAATCTAACCTAATATTATATAGTTAAGACGTATTCTATAAAAAGGTTAAAAATAAATAACTAACTACTATATTCTTTAAAGTAATATATTAGAGTCTAACTCCGCCGGCTATAGTAGCTACGACTATCTAAGGCGACTTAGATAGTTGTAGTTACGGGCAAGTATAGCTAGTAGTAACGAGGTCGACGACCCTTTGTCCTCCTCGGAGGGTACTATAATAGGTCCCCTTCTCGGCGAGGTAAAGAGTAACGTCCTCGTTATAAAGGGATTATAGTTATAGTAACTTAAATAAACGCGAGGTAAATAATAAAGAAATAAAATTATACAAGTTATTATAAAACAAATAGTTATTAAAACAGGGAAACTTATTATAGGACGCCCTCTATCCTTTAGGTCGTTTTCTTAGTATTCTTTATAATACGCGTAGAGCGGCGCGACGGCGCGGCCGTAGTAGCTTTACTACGTCCTCTACGTCCTCCGCGTCTACGGCCGGCGCTATTGTTACGGGTCAACTGCTAGAGGGCGGTTTACTCGAGGGGGTTCTTGAGAATAAGTAGTACAACAGGATATCTGAAAGGGGCTTTGATTCCAATAGTTAAGTTAGTAACATAAGTTCAACACGAACAGACATAAGGTCCGTTCGTCCTACCTATATATATAAGTTAGGTACAAAGGAAATGTGTGGATTAGTGACTTGGAGTCGC